CAGCAGGCTATTGGAATATTCCAAAAGTGAGGTGAGGAGGGCCCGCACCAAAGGTGTTACAGTGTCAGAGAAGAGGACATATACTAGAGATGTTACCAAGGTAAAATTAATAAGCCTTAGCAACTGATTGATATGGGGGACTTGGTGGAGGGAATGTGAGAGACAGTAAGGAATAGAGGATACACCTAGGTCGTGAGTCTGAGTGACTGGGAGGATGGCAGTGCCCTCCATAGTAATAGGGAAGTTTGGAAGAGGTGGAGGAGGGGGGAGGAAGAAGATAATGAATTGAGCTTCGTAGATGCTGAGTTCGAGATTTCTAATAGGCAGTTGGGGATATAAGACTGGATGTCAGAAGAAAGATTAGGACTGGATAAATAGATCTGCAAATCATCAGCTTAGAGGCAATAGTTAAATCCATGAGAACTTATGAGATCACCAAGTGAAATAGTATAGAAGGAGAAGAGAAGAGGGCTCAGGACAGAACCCTGGGGGACACCCACAGTTATTAGGTGTGACCTAGATGAAGATCCAGCAAAGGAGATTGTAATGTGGCTGAACAAATAGGAGGATAGACAGGATATAGTTGTGTCACAGAAGTCTAGAGAAAAGATGGTTGACAGTATCAAAGAGGGGGTCAAAAAGAAAGAGAATTGAGAAAATCCCATTAGATTTGGCAATTAATAAATCATTGGTAACACTGCAGAGGGTATTTTCAGTTGAATGAAGTTGGAAGTTAGACTATAGAGAGTTAAGAAGAGAGTGAGAGGAAAGGAAATAGAGGCATCTATTGTAGACATCCTTCTGAAGAAGTACAACCACAGAAGAGAAGAGAACTATAGGATGATGGCTAGCAAGGATGGACGGATCAAGTGAGGGGTTTTTGAAGGTGGAAGAAACATGGATTTGTTTGTTTGTAGGCAGTAGGGAAGCATCCAGCAAACAAAGAAAGATTGAATATAAATCAGAGAGTGGGAATAATAGAGGGGGCAATGTGCTGGAGAAGATGGGGTAGAATGGAGGCATTTGCCTTGACTTGGAGAAGGGCCACCTTTTCATGTGAAACAGGGCTGAAGGATAAGATAGTGGCAGAAGTTTTCTGAGTGATGAGTAAGGAGGAAAGAATAAGGAGCTCTCAGAAAATGGCTTCAATTTTTTTTTCAGTAAAATGAGGCAAAATTCTTAGCTGAAAGGATTAGGGGAACAGGAACCACTGAAGGTTTGAAAAGAGGTGAAAATGGAATGGTCACTATGATGAATGGGATAATGAGTCAATCAGAGATATATAAAAAGATTGCCTTGCTGCAGTGAGGGCCCAGTTCAAAATTACATAATATAAATATGTAGTGGACCCAGTGAGCATGGTTTTATGATTTTCTCCATCTTTTTTCAACAGTATATAAATAGGAGTGAAAACAATAGATAGTGAGAGTAATCCAAGGCTGAGCCTTGGCAGGGCAAGAATATAAAGTATAAGACTGAGTTCTTGCTCTTAGGGAGTTTATAGTTTAATTGGAGACATAAGACAGATAAACACAGAAGAAAAAGCAAATAACTAGAAAAGTATGGGTATGATAGTCAGATGAATCATACTGATGGTAAGTACCAGAATAGTTGAGGTGGTAGAGTTATCACTGTGGGTTGGATTAGTCAGAGAAGGTTCATGTAGAAAATGGTACTTCAGCTAGGCTTTGAAAAAAGGGTCTGGATAGAGAAAAGGAAGGGGCAAGGCATTCCAGAAGGGGGAAACAAATGAACAAGGCAAATATTTGTGGTAAATATGGGTGGAGGAGTGAGTCAAGGAAATAGTGGGAATTCTGGTTTTAAATGGTAGGTTAGGATGATTCCAGAGGACTGATGAGGAAGTATACCACCCTCCTGATAGAGAGTTGATGAACTTGAGGTTCAGAATTAGACGTATATTTTTTGATTTGGCAAGTGTGTAGATTTGTTTTGCTAGATTCTGCTTATTTGTTATAAGGATTGTAGGGCTTTGGGGGGGAGGGGATTTTGAGTGAGGGTTAAGTGTGGCAGTAGTTACTTCTGTGTTTATCTGTCTTATGTCTCCAATTAAACTATAAACTCCCTAAGAGCAAGAACTCAGTCTTATACTTTATATTCTTGCCCTGCCAAGGCTCAGCCTTGGATTACTCTCACCATCTATTGTTTTCACTCCTATTTATATACTGTTGAAAAAAGATGGAGAAAATCATAAAACCATGCTCACTGGGTCCACTACATATTTATATTACATAATTTTGATAGGGTTACCAAAAAAAAAAGAAGAAAAAGAAGAGGTTCATTAAAATATTTTTAAATGCACAAAAGATACCAAGAAAAAGTTCAGAGGGAAACACAGACAAGCAGGACAGCTTTGAAAGTGACATTGGATTTATTATATCCCTTTTTAAAAAAACAAGTTGTATATAACAGAGCTTGCAATTTTCACATATAAAAAAGATATATTAGGGTCAGATTTTGACAGATCTTGAATTTGTAACTTTGTCTTATAGGCTATAGAAAGTCATTAAATTTTTCTGAGCATCATGAAGGTGAAGTTTGGTTGTAATGTGAAGAATGAGTGGAAGAGGCTGGAAGCAGGGAAATACTTAGCAGGCCATCACAGTAATCCAGGCATCACCAAGTTGTTTCAGGGTCATAGTAAGGAGAATGAAAAGGAAAATGGACAGAATAGACATTAAGATGGAATAACTGATGATTGAATGGATATGATGGGCAAGGAAGGTTGTCAAAGATGCCTTTGATGTTTGATATGTAGCAAGCTAAATTTGAAATAACAATCCAAGTAGAAGTACCTAGCACAGTAGCTGGAGACATAGCTCAAGAGAGAGGTTCGGCTGGAATTTAGGAGTCATCAGCAGAATGGTGGTATTTGAAGCCATAAGAGTGAATAAGGTCTCCAAGGAAGAGTGCAGAAAGAGAAAGGCTAGAGACTATGAACCTTAGAGAATGCCCACAATTGCAAAGTGGGAAGGAAAGCAAAAGAGCAGAGGAAGACTAGTCCGAGAAGTAGAATCCCAACCAATATAGTACAATGTGGCAGAAGCCAAGAGAGAAGAGATACCCAAGAGGGAGGGCCAGAGACTTCAGTGAGATTACAGAGGATGTGGTCTGAGAAAAGGTCATTGGATTTGATGATTAAAAGATGACCTTTGAAAGACCAGCTTCAGTAGAGGAGTGGAGGCAGAATCTATATTACAAGATATCAATAGATGTCATAGGTTTTGATCATTTATTTGAATAGTTTGTGAATAAAAGAAGGAGAGAAACAGGACAAGGTTGTCTGGAGCCAGCAACTGGATTGTTGGATTTGGATTATGTGTGTTTTAAATTGAGGGACCATGCATGTGTTAAGAAAGGGAAGGGGAAAGAAGCAGAAAAGATGTTTTCTATAACAATATTTTCTGTTTTGACCCTTCCCCTGCAGTTTGCTTTGCCCTGAAATTACAGAGAATAGTTCAAAGTGAAAATCAAAGCAGTCAAAGGGCCTGTGTGGTCCCTTCCAATTCTTAACATTCTAGATTTAAGAAAACCCATTGACAAGAAAAAAGGGAATGTGGGATTCTTGAAAAGGGCATGAAGTTACCTTCTTATAATACTTTAAATACATCAGTAAATAGGGCTAATAAAGTTGAATTAGATCAAATAAAAGTGCTAAGCATAGGTATAAAAGATAAAAAACCCAATACAACAACACTGAAGAGAGTTCACCTGAATGTGTCAACATAGTGTAGGAAAGAGGGATAGATGGAAATCAGAGGATCCGACAGCAAGTCTCTTATCTGATACTTACTATCTATGTGACCTTGGACAAGCCACTTGGACCACGAAGGTCCCTCCTACCTCTAAATCTATGATGCTTCATGTGTACAGGATTTTGAGGTTTACAAACCACAGACAGCAAGTTCTCATTTATCTGTTGCTATCAGGAGGGGCAGGAAAACTGGATAAATGAAATTCCTCTACCTCAGTTTTGCCACTAGTTTCAACCTCCTCTTCCACTAAGACTTTGAAAAGAGCTAAAATGTACTGACTTGAATCTTCCCCGATTGCTAGGGAAATGAACCCAAAAAAGAGAAAATGAACACATAAAAAGAGAGGAAGAACAAAAGAGCCCAAATAAAACATGTGCTGATGACAGAATAAGACAATAGGCTTTTGATATGGAAAGGACCATAGAAATAATCCAATCCACTCTCCATGTTTTACAATTGAGGAAACTCAGGCCCAAAGAAATATACTGATTTATGCAAGGTCACTCAAGTAGGTTGTTAAAAAAAAAAAAGCTGGGATTTTTAATCTAGCTTATCTGACTCTAACTTTAATTACATTTTCCCTATACTGTCCGCTTTACTGGAACCACACTGCCAGCCTCTAGGTCAAGGGTTCTCCACCTTTTTGTGTGTTATGGACCCCTTTGGAAGCCTAGTGAAGCCTATGGATGCCTCAGAATAATGGGGGGGTTTTTTCCATCATAATTGAAATGTTAAATTTTCATTAGAGCTGAGTGAAAAGAAAGATGTATTGTTTCTGTCCAAGTTCACAAACACCCTAAAATCCATCCAAAGATCTTTTTGGGGTCCATGGGCCTCAAGTTAAGAACTCTTGCTCTGAGTAACAGAGAAGTGCTTGACTAGGTTAATGAATGAAATCTTCCAGCACAGTACTTTGAACTCAATAGGAACTTGATAAATGAATGTTGAAGAAATGGGTGAATGATCAGGATGTTACCATGTATAGCAGAGGCTCAGCTTCACATATAAACCACTTCCTATCTTCTAGATCAATCCAGAGCAGTATTTTGTACTCAGTCAATTCAATTTGACAGCCGTTTATTTATGAAGTGCCTACTATGTGGTAGGTACTGTGCTAGATGCTGTGGTTATGGAAAAAAAAGTAGTTGCAGGCCTCAGGGAGCCTACATTCTATTGAGGGAGATAAGGGAAGCTTCTAACAAGGTCTTTGGCTTTCTTTCCCTACAGTAGATGGAAAAGCCACCATTTCCATTGAGAGCTGTTCTCCAACACTCTTCATGTTCATGCTCAATGGAAAACAAGAAAATGGCATAATGACTTTCAAGAAGAATGGGATGAAGCTGGAGGTATACCCCCAGACCACTGGCACCCACAAGTTACAGATCTTTGCTAAAGGCACCTCAGACCTCTACAGCTCTGTGCTGGAATATACCCTGGAGTGCAACTCAGTGGATAGGAGCATTCAACTTCCATCTGAACTCCACCAGCCCGTGGGCCCCAGCTGGTTCTCTGAGCAAGCAGGCATTCTGAAGCCTTCACACCCTGATCCCATCATCCACACCAAGGATGGGCGCTGCTCCATCAGCTTTGGGGTGGAGGAGGGCATCAGTGTCTTAGCCTCATTACACGGTGATGAGAAAATAACCGAGGAGACACAGCGACGCTACATCTTCCAGCTCCATGGGGAAAAGAGAACAGAGCTGAAAGTCCAACTCCCCTATGCAGGGAAGTTTGCCCTGAAAATCTTTGCCAAGAAGAGGTTGGATCCGGGCAACTATGTCTTCATCTTCAATTACCTCCTCTGTTGCTCTAATACTAAAGTGAAATGGCCCGTGTTCCCGGAGAGTTTTGGCAACTGGGGTCAGGACAATGAGCTGCTAGAGCCTCTGTCTGGGGTGCTGCCGGCCAACCGGAATATCCCATTTAAACTGAAGCTCCATGGGGTAGCGGAAGCATTAGTGAAAGGGCAGGACACGTGGCCTCTGACGCTGAGCCAAGACGGCTACTGGGAGGGTACCTGTAATACTGCCGGCTGCCGAGAGGTTTATGTCATGGTTTTGGAGAATGCCAACCACAACTTCTACTCCTACATCCTGAAATACAAAGTGACGGCCCAATGACAATCCTTGAGCTCCCTCTACTCCATCTTTCTGGATGGACATTTCTCATTTTTCCAGCTCAGCACAGTTAGAATAGTAGGCTGAAAAGAGGAGAGAAGGAGAGGGAGGGAGAGAGAGAGAGAGAGAGAGAGAGAGAGAGAGAGAGAGAGAGAGAGAGAGAGAGAGAGAGAAAAGAAAAGGGAGGGAATTAAAGTATAAGACAACATTATCTAAGAAATAGAAAGGGCCTGAAAAGCTAGTTGCCTAGCACTTGTTCTGCCTTTTGCTAACTCATTGAGTGACCTTCATGAAGTCACTTATCTACTCAGTAATTCAGTTTTCCTTTTTGCAGAGGGGATAATGATACTTATAACCTATTCACTTTGCAAGGAAGTTGTAAGAATAAGATGATAGATGTGATGGTGCTTTAGTAAATAAGGTGCTATATCCATCCAAGGTTTTGTGATCATAGTATAAAACTCTGTTATAACGTTGATGTGGGGGAACAATGATACTGACCATGTTATAGGGTTTCCTCATTGTAAAGACAGAATTGCCCCCAGTGTTCAGGGACTATGAAATGATCACAGAGGATAAACCAAATCTATTCAATACTAAAGGACGGAATTATATGGTATTTGGTGGAGAGAGTATCTAGACTCACTGAAAAGAAACACACACACACACACACACACACACACACACACACACACACACATACACATCTCCCAAGTCCATCAGGAAATGACAGTGTCCAAAGCTTTCAGACAGTGGCCCTGCTGCCCCATTCCCTCTCCCTTCTGTCTCCCTTTGCTGGCAGTCAGACAAGCCACGTCAGGAGCAAGAAAGCCTACACGAGAATCTATCATCCTCATGACCCTTTCAGGGTCCCACACAGCCAGAAGGCACAATCCCTGCCCTCTTTGACCTTGGGTTCTATCTAATGCATTAAAAATGACAACCTGAGAGGTGGGCCGGGAGAAGCAAAAATAGAGAGGGTATGTCAGAGTATACAGAGTATACAAAAGCAGGGTTTAAACTTCTTCCATAATCTAACCCTCATTTAAAAGGGACCCAGAAATTAGTTACACACACACACACACACACTCTTGACAGTATAATAGTAAGTATAATCAACTCAACACAGCTACCCCCAAGACCCTTACATCTCCTCCTCTCCACCTTTCTTCAGTCATTTCATTGCACAAAAACCTTAAGAGTGTGAGGATTAGAAATCAGTCAGTGATTTATGAGGTGCTTTCTATATGCCAAACACTATGACATTTGTTGTTTACTATGTGCCATGCTCTGTGATAGAAAAGACAAAAATGAGACTGTCCCTGCCCTCAAGGAACTTACATTATCCTTGAGGAAAGAAGATGGAACTCAAATCAGGTCTTTGTTTCTTTTTTACAATCCTAATTAAAGGTTTGAGAGAAGGGAAGGCAGCGCTTACAAGCTCTCTAAGCTAAGGTCTCAAAAGTGGGACTTCACTTGAGGAGTGAGGCTAGATTTTAGTTTTATGAGAACATCCTCCCTCCACTAGCGTGGCCAATTATGGGATGTTTATTTTAGAAACATGCTACTCTGTCAGTCCAGAGGGAAAGCAAACCCAGTCATCTTTCCCCTTCACCTGGCACCAAGAACTACTTACTTAAGTGATCAGGGACTGACTACTTTCAACCTTTATCTTTTATATATATTTACTCTTTATAAAGAAAGCCCCCTCTTTATTTCCTGCTTTGCATGAATGAATTTTTAAGCCAAAAAAAAATTACCACTTAACATATCCATTCATCTGGGAGGAAAACCTCATCTTCCCTATATCCTTCTCTCCTTCTCCCCTCCTGTCCCCCCAACCCTGACTGATCACTCCCATTTGAGATTAGACCTAGGAAAGGAAATTAGCAACCCAGCCCTGTATCTCCTCCTACCCCCTCCCCTCAGCCCAGCTGTCCAGTGAAGGGTAGGCAGCCCCTCCCAGAGGGCTCTCTATCTCCATGGCAACAGAGAAAAGGCTGCATCCATAGCTGGACAGGGAGGGGACTGGAGTTAAGGGAAAGAGGCCCTATATACTTCTCTAGGAAGGGTACTCCCTTCTCTGAGGGCTGAAGATGCCAGAAAGGGAAGTTCCCCACTGTCCACTCTGACCGTTATAGAAAGACCCTATCTTTTAGCCTGTATTCCAATCCATCCAGGAGCTACTTGTCTAGCCAAGAGTTACACACACACACACACACACACACACACTTATTTCCTCAGCCTTACTATCCATTTCTTGTTGCCCAGGACTGCAATAGCCCATTAAGGACCTAGTCTGATGATGAAAGAGCTGGTTTGGGTCCTTTGGACCCCAGTTGACTCAAACATAGACACCATAGCCCTCAACTGCCTAACTCACAGGATGATGGAGAGCTGGCTACAGAACAGGAAAAATCCCACCATCCCAGGACCACCAAATCTCCCTCAAGGCACAGCAGACTAGTTCGCTTACAGTTACATCCTCAACAGAGCCCTGAGAATTTAGCTCAGCTCTCAGCAAAGCAGCAGTGATGCCTAATGATTAGAACATGAGCAGCTGTGGAAAGAATTTTGGTTCTCCAGCCCTAACTAATCCCCATTTTTGTGTCAGACCTCATACACAAACATGCACACACACACACATTCATACTTATTTAACATTTCCCCCTCCAAATCACCACATCACAGCCCAGATCCCTTCTGTTCCCTCTCTGTTTCCCAACCCACACAGTCAGCAGCAGTGGCAACCCTGAGAAGGGGGCAAAATTTCCCATGGGAGTAGAGAAGAGGGCTTGTAAAATGGGGCTCCACAGAACAATTTTGCATGGGGCTAAGAATCCATCAATGAGACATCTGCTTCTGCCTGTGTGGGTCTCAGGAGTTGCTAACAAACCAAACCCTTGAGAAGCAGCAAGATTCCAGGAGAGATGTGCTTTTCTGCAGCCTTTGGTTTTATTTTTAAAAAGCACAACTCCTCTCCTGAGGCAAATTTCACTTATGCCACCAATCAAAAGAAAATGGCATTTGTAATCATTACCACAGCCTTTTCTTACATGTTTGCTTGTGGGGGGAAATATAAGCTTTATGCATTATAAAAAGAGTAACAAAATCTAGACTTGTGAATTTTGTCACCAAATGAATAGCTAGGCCAGGAAGACACTGCAAATGCAGGACCCTGGATAGCTGAAAGCAACCTGAAAGGAGAGGGAAAAAAAAATCAGCATTCTGTAGAGTGCAGAGGACCAAAAAATGTAGAACATGGGCCCCTGTCCTGATAGTAGCAAGAATGGGAGTCCTGCTTTTGTCAGCCAAATGGTTCTGCCAGCCCTGCAGCCCTTTTCTCTGGCTGCCCCCCAAAGTCATTCACTCAGCCAGGTGCCCCCTTTGTCAAGACAGCTTTGGGCCTTGTCAGAAAAATTCTCTGTGTCTCTCTCTGTCTCTCTCTCTCTCTCTCTCTCTCTCCCTCGTTGAAGCAAAAATACATGAACTGAAATCAGATGAAATTGTAAATGCATGTTGCTCTTGGTAAGAATACAGGATTGGATTTTGAAGTCTTTTATTCAAATCCCATTCTCTTTTTGTTCTTTTTTTGGTGGGTTTCTGTTGTGCTGTGGAATGGCATGGGTGCCCTCTGGTGTCTGTAACTCAGTACTGCTCACTTGTCTTCCAACAACAAATAAGGATGAATTGTTGGAAAAAAATGATCCAGATGTATATACAGATTTTTTTGCCCTTCGAAATCCTGTCAGGGTTTTTATGTTAGGCTCACCTTTGGGATTTCTCATGGTCACACTGATTACTGTGTTTTCAGCATTTGCTTATCTTTATGCTTTGAAGCATTTCCAAGCAAGCCAGAGGCAGCAAGCATGGCCTGGGCATCATTGGTGAGACATGGAATGTAATAGGAAATGAGGGTGCCTAGCATTAAAATCCTTTCTTAAAACAGAAATGCTTGATATATTGGCCCTGGCAGCACTAGTCTGACTTGCTGTGCCAATAAAGTTATTGAAATTGATTGAATTCCTTTTGTTCAAGTGGAAAAACTGGACAGAAAGCTAGCAAGACCCAGAATGACAGCTAAATGAGGCAGCCAGATGAACAGTCTATAGGAAGTGATGGGTGGGTGGGAACCAAGTGGGGACGGAGGGTGGGAGGGGAGGGGAGAGGTGAGGAGGGCAGTTTTGCCAGAGAAGTCACACACTCACAAATAGATTCTTTTTGACTTGTTTTAGGCTCCACAATTACAGCTGGACTTCATTTTCACTCTATGATTACTGTGAGCAGTCCATGGGGTTCTTAACCATTTTAGGGGGCCATGGACTCCTTTGCCATCTGTTGAAACCTATAGGCCCTATCTCAAAATCATGTTTCTAAACACATAAAATACATAGGATTGCAAAGGAAACCAGTTTTACCAAAATACCGTTATTTTAAATTTTTTTGCTTTTTAAAGTTAATGGATTCCAGGTAAAGAACCCCTCCTTTAAATGCTATCAGGAAAAACATTCCTTGCAAATTCATAAATATATAAGGAAAAGATCATCAGTTTAGCATAAAGGATTTGGTGTTAGATGTAAGGAAATACATCCTATTAAAAAGCAAGGCGAAGGGTGCTAAGGAAATTTTTTTGTATTTCCTTCTGTGGAAGATCCCATAGATGAAAGAGCTTCTCATTCTATCTGCCTGAGATTTTAGAAGCAGTTCAAATGGACTAGGTTCTTCTGTTCCTTGAAAGGTAGTCCCACAGCAGTCAGAGGATTAACCCCATTTGCCATATATTGGTAGTGGGAAAGCTTTCAAAACCGTTCTGCATCTATGTCCCACATCGGTATATCTGAGTACATATGAATTCTATGATTTCCTTTCATTTTGTATGAATAGTCGAAAATGTTAAAAATGTGATTACTTTTCATAGTCCTTGTATTGAGCTGAATAGGCTGACGGCTGTTTGATCTGTGTGCTTTCCCACATTGTTGCTGGTGTTGTTTTTCAATAAAATTTATATTCATTTTTATCCAACAATGTAATTATCGATCCATTCGTATCACTGCTCTCAAGGAAAGGAAAAAAAAGTCAAAAACATATCCATGTTTGAAAGGAGCTGGAGAAGAAAAATCAATAGTCTGATCATTTGAATGTGACGGTGTGATGCAAATGGGCTGTCTGAGAAAAGAGCTGTATCTTCCATTAAAGAAAACACAATTAGGTGAGTTCAGTCTTCTTCTGTGGCTCATCAGTCCTTTGAAGACAGACAAAGGCCAAGTTTCTTTCATTGCATTTTGTTAAACCTGAAATTTTTAAAACTAAGATCTACTTTCTTTTTCCTTCCTTCCCTCTTTCTTTCCTTGTTAATTTGTTCAGAACTGGGGTTTTATTGGTTTGGAGAACTACCAACATGAAAACTCCCTCCACTCATGCAAATTAATAACTCATCTATAAATTATAATCTCATTTCTAAGGTAAGGATAGCTTGCAGCACTGAGAGGTCAAGAGCCTTATTACCCAGGCTCACACAGCCAGTATATGTCAGAGACAGGACTGAAACTCTAGTTATCCTGACTCCAAAGCCCATCCTCTATCTCCTCTGCCATGTTGTCCCACCAGTATTTTTTTTATCATACTTGAAGGAAATTAATTTCATTCAATCGCCATAGGGTTTTTTTAGGTCTTTTTTTATGGTGGTAGTAGTCTGATTATTTGTGTTTTAAACTTAACTAATGTATAAATATGAAGATTAGAGGTGGACTGGGGGTTGGGAAAGTGTTTATTACCTACAATGATTATTTGCAATTTGAACATTATAAGATTATGGAAAACAAATGTGGGTTTAAGTCCCACTTTCTGACACATACCGGTTATATGATCCTGGGCAAGTCACTCAACTTTTCAATGTCCCAGGTAATTCTCCAAAACTGTTGCAAAATGGTTGCTAGTTTACACTGATAGAGTGAGCTCTCTCACTGGAGATTCCCTATACCAATCAAATCAAAGATCAGGAAGGAAGGAAGGAAGGAAGGAAGGAAGGAAGGAAGGAAGGAAGGAAGGAAGGAAGGAAGGAAGGAAGGAAGGAAGGAAGGAAGGAAGGAAGGAAGGAAGGAAGGAAGGAAGGAAGAAAGAAAGAAAGAAAGAAAGAAAGAAAAAGAAAGAAAGAAAGAAGAAAGAAAGAAGAGAAAGAAAGGGGAAGAAGAGAAGGAAGAAGGAAAAGGAGAGGAAGAAGGAAGGAAGGAAGGAAGGAAGGAAGGAAGGAAGGAAGGAAGAAAAAAAAAAAGAAAGAAAGAAAGAAAGAAAGAAAGAAAGAAAGAAAGAAAGAAAGAAAGAAAGAAAGAAAGAAAGAAAGAAAGAGGGAGGGAGGAAGGAAGAAAAAGGAAGGAAGGAAGGAAAAAAGAAAACAAGAAAGAAAGAAGGAAAGAAGGAAGGAAGCAAGGAAAGAAAGAAGGAAAAAGGAAGGAAGAAGGAAGGAAGGAAGGAAGGAAGGAAGGAAGGAAGGAAGGAAGGAAGGAAGGAAGGAAGGAAGGAAGGAAGGAAGGAAGGAAGAAATTTGGCCACCCTCAAGGAGCTTTGCTATCCATGGAGATGATTTCCTGTCACTAACTCACAATGTGACGTTATGCAGGCCACTTCTCTCCAGGCCTTTGTTCCTTCAGCTGTGCCATGAAAAGTTGATCTTTAAGGTCTTTTACCAGCTCTGTGACCCTCTGATTCCTTAGTATTTCTATATTGGACAAAAAGAATGTTGCTAACTCTGAAGTCATTGTGACCCCTCATTGAAGATTATCAGATCCTATTATTATAGCTGAGGTGTTTGTGTCACACGAGTTTCAGGGTACACACATAAGGTGACACAAAGATGGGCACCCCAAGTTTTTAAATCAGAAACTAAGGTTCTGGTAGAGTCCCTAAAGTTAATATCCAAATTAAATTAGAAGGAGGGAACATAGTGAAATAGAACCAAGATGGCAGAACAGTGGAAAGGAGTACAATGAGCTTTCCCCCTTCCCCAATCCCTCATAACTCCTTAAGAAAGATCTGGAAAATCTATCAGATCCAATCCTAATGTGGAAATCCAAGAAGAAACATCACAGTGAGTCATTTTCTTCAAGCCCAGGTATGCCTAGGGAGATAAACAGAGAGGTCTATGGGCACTGAGGGTGGATTCTGGCCAGTATCTTGTGCAGTACATTCAAGAACAAGAAGGAGCCACCCAGCAGTGCAAGAAGAATCTCTGTAGAGCAGAAGGGTACTTAAATTTGAATAGGGTGCAGGAATAGCTGCTGCCTGGCAATTCTACTGCTCTCTAATCAGTGGTCATAAGTGGTGGACCAAGGAGGGGACTAAGCGGTGGCATTCCAAAGCAAGGAGCCACTATGGGTTCTAGGCTGTATACCAAGCAAAGAGCAAGTTCAAAAGCAAATAGCAGCTGTGTGAGTGACCCCCTCCTGGGGTCTTAGTTCTAACTTCCAGCCCAATCTGGAACCTGAAAAGTAATGACCAGGGCAGGAATCCCAGACCAGGGGGAAATCTACAGCACTGTCACTCTGAACCAGCAGAGCTTTCTAACTGGCAGATAGTGGCTGAGTCTAGCAGCAGCAGTCTACTGAAACTCTAAATAAGACAAGTCCATAGTCTTGTTGTTCAAACCCAAACCTAGCTGAGGAACCTGCACAGCTTGGACCAAGAGAGCAGTGACCAGACTTTCCCCTGGATAAAGACCACTTCAGGAGCAATGAAAGCTCCCTGATTCAGATCCCTAGACCAAGCTGTCCCTGAGATCCTGAAATAGTACAACACTCAATTCCAAGAAAGCAGCAGCAAGATCAGCCCCGACATTACCTCCAGAAGGACACAGAACTTGGCCCTAACATAAAGTCTGAAGCCAGGAAGTAGGCTGAAAGATGAGCAAATAAACAAAAAAGAATACCACCACAAAAAGTTATTATGATGATAGGAATGCTCAAGACATAACCAAAAAGAGGAGAATGACTCCAATACATCTACAAGCAAAGCTTACAAAAAAAAAAAAACAGTTTGGGCACAAATTCAGCTAGAATTCCTGAAAGAGATGAAAGAAAAATTGAGTAAATATTTTTTTAAAAAAAATTTATAAATGAAACTAGAGCCCCCTAGAGGAAAAAAATTTGAAAAAAAAAATGAGAGTTGTAGATGGAAGAATCAGAACAGGAATTAATAGCTTGGCACAAGAGATTGTCCAAGCAACCGACTCCTTGAAAATTAGAATGGACCAAGTAGAAATTAATGACTCCTTTGGCAATAGGAAATGTTAAAAAAAACAAAGTGAAAAGACTGGAAAAATACAAGACAATGTAAGGTATCTCCTGGTAAAAACAACTGACCTAGAAAACAGATGGAAAAGAAATAATTTAAGAATAATCAGACTACTACCATGATAAAAGAGTGAAATTCCAGAAGGCAAAGGAATTAGAATTACAACCAAGAATAACCTACCCAACAAAACTGAGAATAATCCTTCAGGGGGGAAATGGATATTTAATGAAACAGAGGACTTTCAAGCATTCCTAATGAAAAGACCAGAGCTGAATAGAAAATCTGACATTCAAACACAAGACTCAAGAGAAGTGTGAAAAAGCACCATTAGATCTGTGGTGTTATTAAAGCTTCCAGTCTCATGTGAATGAGAAACTGCTGTTCGCTTCTTTGAAAGATGAAATAGCATTCCTGCAGGAGAGTTTGGGCATTGGTATTCACTGGTGATTTCTTAAGCGGATACAAGTTTTCCTCTCTCAGAAGGGTTCCTAGTGTGTGCGCATGCAGCAGCCACAACTGCATCTTTTCCTCAAGGAACTCTCTTCAGAAGGCTCAGTGACCACCCACCACCACCCCACCCATGCCCAACCCTAAGGTGGCTCAGATCCTTCAGAGATAATATCAGGATCAGGAATTTAAAAGCCACCACAGGTAATCTTTGGATGTGAGCTAGGCGTTAGCAGTCACCTACCTGACTGACACATGCCACAGTGAAACTGAGCACAAGGGATGCTGTATTTAATTGTGCAGGCACAAAGAAAAATATTACCACCTCCAGCAGTCTCTCAATTCATTTTATGGTGGTAAGCAAGCACACAGCATTT